ATTTAACTACATATTAGGCTATACCGGGTTAATTCCAATTTAGGTAGTTTTTATTGCAATTTAAAAATTGTTCTTTATTTCTAGAAAATGTTAAATATGTCAAAAACCTTACATTTTAGTCATATACTTCTTTTATAAAACTCACCTTTATTTTGCTCCCAGAATCCGAAAATCAATTAATATATAGGGTGTTCCATTACAAAAAACTCAACTTTGATATGTAATTTTCTTTAGGGACACCCTATAGAACTCTCTATATTTTTAAAAAGTGCTTTGAATTAACCTACATATATGCTCACAAAATTACATTTCAATACAAACTGTCGTTCTCCTTGGAGCCTCAGCGGCGTATGAGAGGCGCCACCCTGTATACATATTCATTATTCAAATAAATTTTAATCAAGGATCTATGTTACAAAACTTAACAAAAAAGTGCTTTTCACAGAAATAATACGTCAAGCTATGGGTAATTTGAATTCTACGCCGTAGCTTATTGCTCAATGGATTGAACATAACCCTGAAATAAGGCAAAACTATTAAGAGAGGCAAACAATTTTATTAGGGGTCGTTAAAACTTTAATACCCTGTTTTTCCACCCACTCATATCATTCTCAGTCTATCGACCTTCGCAATACCAACCCCTAGCGAAGTTCACAGTTAGGCAAATAAAAACTTTACGTCTCTTTTTGCCAAACGACGGTAAAATCTTTATTTTTCTATTTAGGTCTCTATTCTGAATTTAACAATCATGATAATAGTTTTATTATATAGGGTGTTGCAGGCGTTAAAATCGTAATAATACCTAGGCGTTAAAATTACTTTTTTATAATGTCAATCACCTCTCAAAAATGAATACTTTTGTGAAAAAAAAACATTTTTCTACAAACGTCAAAAAATGACAAGGTTCGCGAATTGATAGCAATGTGCGAAGCTTTGAATAAGAAGACTAAGGAAGGAGCATATCAAAAATCTTAGGTACACCGCGATAGGCCTCAAATATGGCCGACTTAAATTCCGGTTTATCAGTGCCGTTCTAATTTTATTTAAAAAATGTAAAACTATGATGTAAGGTAGACGTGGGGTAGACTCAATAATTTGTTATTTTATTTTACGTTGTGAATAAATGTTGGTATAGTTATTAAAATTGTTATAAAAATATATAATTCTAATAAAAATAGATAAGTTATAATAAGTATTTATTAACACAAATATCTGATACGCTACTGAAGCAGGTAAGTCAAATTAACGTATCAAAATTCTTTGACATCTGATCTTTGACAAGTAGTAAATAAAAGCTAAAATGCAAGAAAATATATAATTTAGTTAATTTAAGTGTATTTCATAAATGATCGGTTTACTACACGTATGTATATTATATAGTCACTTACTAGCGAAAAGTTGTTCCATTATTTCACTCAATTTTTGCCGAGATCTACCTCACGCTACACTACCAACTATTTTAGAGTATTTTTCGATAAATCGCGATAATGTCACTGTTAATTTAAGTTCTGCCACAATTTCCATCTAGATTTACTACCTTTATACAACTATCAGTAGTAGAATAAATAATAAATAACATAAAATAAACTCCGTAAAGACTGACAAATCCACAAAATTTCAAATCAAATTCAAAAGTGTCAAATGAATCGTCAAACAGAACTGTCAAGGATCCCCACTCCCCTAGAGAGCTTTTTCCGCCCACCATGCATGAATACATGGATAGCATTATGCTTCTTCCTTAGTCTTCTTATTCAAAGGTACGAAGTGACACTTTTTTTCATTTTCCTACGTTACCATGACACGATGCGTGAAGTAATACGCGAAATGCCTATTTCGCACACTGCATGTAAATTATATGGAATTTTGGAATTTTGATTTTTGGAAAATGAAGAACTAAATTATAACTAATTATTTATTTCGAAATATTCAAGAATAAACAAATAACAAATATCAAACTTAACACTAATGCATATTCTAGTTATTATTTACAATATTAACATTAATAGTACAACCAGTACACGAACCAATATTTAATCCCAAACTAGATAGTTCTGATTTTGCTTGAGATATGGGGGTTTTGGGACTTGAGACACTATCCAGTTTTGATGTAGAGGTACTTGATCCCGGTATTTGACACTCTAAAATTTTATTTGATATTTGAATTTTATTGTTGATAGAATCCTCGACGTATCCCTCGACCACTGTCGAAGATTTCCATCCTCCGTGGCGCTTCAAACTAAATATATCACTCCCTGCATTAGCAAGGAGTGTGGCTGAAGTTCCCCGGAAACAATGCCCAGTGTAGGCCTCATAATCTGGCAGCTTCAAGTGTTTTTCTATCATGCTAGGCATCTTACCAATAGAATTTATGCCGACCACTTGGTTAACACATCTTTTATTTTGATATTTTAAAAACAATCTACGACTGGTAGCATTTCTTGGACGAAGAGCTGCGTATTTTCGGTAAATCTCAATATAATTCAAATTTGACACTGTAAAGACTCGGTCTATGTTTGTTTTTGTATCGGGTACTTTTACAATCAAAACTGAATTTTTATCTTCTATGTTATCGACCGTCATTTTAGTAAGGTCCTCACGGCGCGGCAGCAAACACCAGAAATACCAAGTATTAAAATGACCTAATAGGAAATCGATGACGATGTTCAGTAATAAAAAAACATACATTCCAAGCTCACGGGTTTTTTTTCGAAGCAATAATATAATAGTAATAATTTTTAGGGATATCCCGATTTTAATGTTTGTAGAAAAAATATGAACAAGCAGAATTTAGAGCCGGAAGATCGACGGTGGACCACTTATTTACAGTCACTCAAGTAATAAGTAAAAAGAGCAATCTAAACCAAGAGCTACATCTTGTGTTCGTGGACCTGTAGAAGGCATACGACAGCGTTCCCCTTGTGAGACTTTGGGAAGCTATGGAAAAAACCAATATAAATGTAGAGCTAATAAAAGCAGTAAAATCATTATATAAGCAAACAAAAACTAGAATAAAAGTCGGCAAAAAGTTAACAACAGGATTTAATGGAACCAAAGGTCTGAAACAAGGGTGCTGTATTTCACCAACACTATTCAAGATATATCTCGAACAAGTTCTCAAAGGTTGGAAGCAAAAATATAGAAATATGGGAGTACCCATAGGGGATAACATGCTCTACACACTTTGCTTCGCGGACGATCAGGTGATCATAGCACAAGATTACGATGACATACATTATATGACACGTAAGCTTATAGAAGAATATCAGAAATGGGGGCTCGAGATCAATACTAACAAAACAGAATATATGTGTATCGGAGGAGAACAACAAGATCTAATACTAGAAGAAGGGAAGAAAATTAAGTGCTGCACAAAATACAAATATTTGGGTATGCAAATCACAAATGATGGACTGTTGGATACAGCAATTAAAGAACGAAACCAACTTGGAAGGAATGCTATCACGGTATTGAATGGGATACTGTGGGACAGAAGCTTAAACAACAAGAACAAAACTCTAATATATAATACCATCATCAAGAGTATAACCACGTACAGCTGTGAAGTGTGGCCAATTAAGGAAACAACAAAACGAATGCTGGAAGCTACAGAGATGGATTTTTGGAGAAGATCAGCAGGCAAATCAAGACTCGAGTATATAACTAATGAACGCATAAGAGAGATTATGGAAGTTAAACATACGATAGTGGACGACATAAAGAACAGTCAACTCATATGGTACGGGCATGTCCAAAGAATGGCAGAAATAAGAATCCCAAAGCAAATTATAAACTGGAAACCTGCAGGAAGAAGAAAACCGGGTAGACCGAGAAGAAGTTGGCAGGAAGGGATATACATAGATACACGTTTAGGGAGGAAAGATCTCTCGGAGACGGTGCATGGAGAGACAGACAGGCATGGAGAGATGGCATCGGAAGACGTAGAACGTTTTAAACCGATTCATATATATATATATATATATATATATATATATATATATATATATATATATATATATATATATATATAGAAAAAATATTGTTTGCAACTCGTGTGCGAACTACTTTGGTGATCTCGACTAATTTTTCAACTCGGCTACGCCTCGTTTGGGACAACTTTGTTGATCGTAGTAGCACTCCGCGCACTATAGATACAAAAATAACTATTCTTCTGATATTTCTAAGAAAAAAAATAAAAATCTAACTTTAATAATCAAACAATTGCGATCGTCCATTAAGGAATTGGAATAGTTTATTTTATTTTTGGGTTTTAAACTGAAAGCAATAAGATACTATCATTAAACTAATTATTTACTTTATTTCTTTCTCTTTTATTAAATCGATCTTTCTGGCTAAACCTAACCAATTCCAGAAATAAACCGCGCAAATAGACTTAATAAAATTGCAGTAAACTTGCAATAAAGAGAAAATAGACTGAAAGCTACCAATTTTATTTTACCCCCATTATTTTTTAATCAGCAATATACGTTATTAATGTAACATTGCGCTTAAGCCGAATGATTCATTTTTTTATGTGGAATTTATTTTTAAATAGATTTACGTTTCTAATTGGTATTAATGATTCTAGTTTTAGAGTATTTAGAATAAACAAACATTTGCAACAGTTTAATTACATTTATACTAACAAAACGTAAATAAAATAACATACGCACGTGTTCGACATATAAATAACATAGAATAACACAGACAAACAAAATGTATTACTTTTTAACGAGTTTTGTTTTAATTTTTTAGTATTCAATTTTTATTTAAGACTATTCAAATCAGTGTCATCAAGTGTCACTTGAATGAAGAATTTTATTTTTGTCTCTATCCATTTGTCACTTCAACATATACAGGGTGTATCTACGTCCCATTTTCGTGTGTTTAACTATCTAGGGTATATTATAAATATATAATATACCCTAGACTTATTTTTATAAATATGGTAAAAAAATACATGCTTAGCCTAAATGAATCTCAATATGGTTTTTTATTTGCAGGGATATACCGACGAACCAATCTCGAAAATATTGTCTAATATCAGCCATAGCGATACCGTTCTCCTTGACCGATGGTCACTAGGGGTCGAACAAAATGGCGGCGCGGAAGCACCCGAAGAAGGGAAGGAAAACCTACCCCTAAATGTGGTGAACAACTATTATTCTTTGGGGGTGGATGCCCATATAGCGCTGGAATTTCACGAAGCAAGAGGTTGGTATAGATTGATTAATTTAGAGCCACTGCTCTATGTAATAGAGTTTTTTTTTCTCTCAACAATTATAAAAGAATAATCTACCATTTTGATAATTAAGTAAAATGAATGACATATCATATATGTCAACTTTTGACATTTTCGAATAATAATTTTACACGAATTACCAAGTGTGGTATCAAATTTTTATGAATAATTTGATACAACACTTGGTATTTCGATTAAAATTGTCGATATGAATCGCATGTTGCAATTTCAAGTAAACCATATTCGAAACTGTCAAAAGTTGACATATGATATGTCATTCTATTCAGAGTGTCATTTTGTATAGAATAAATTAAAAAAAAAATACCGGAGGTTGTCATTTAAAAATCAAAAGTTGTACTAATTTCTGGTGAAACAGGAACTGACCGAAGACAAATGAATACGTTAATCAATCCTAATTTTATATCATATACTAACATACCAAATCTCGATTTTTATCTGAAAAAATCACTTTTGAGACGCACCCGGTATAAAGTATAATAAACTAAGTGTAGGTAAAACACCAAAATTTTGGCGGCTGGTCCTAAATAGTCTGTGCTTTAATAAAATTACATTTTATAGACCTACTATTGGTCAAACACTTTACAATACGTCTTTTTAAAAACGATACATAGATAATAATAAAAAACGATGCCTGGTAGGCATAAATAAAAACTTTTTAACAGTTTGAATACTTTTTTTTTGAATCTCACCGTTTTTTCTGCTGTATTTCTTCAGAACAATAAAGGCGCAGTCTCTTTGAATAAATATAAGCAAAATAACTTACAGCCTCGGGCAACCGGGCACAAAAGCGTGGCGTTCGAACAAAATTTTAATGATCGAGAAGCAGCAAAATACGGTTTTATAATGAAAATACTCTTTGAATAAGGCCGGTTCTTATAGTAACAACCCTTCAGGTCAGTACGAAACAACAAAGAGGATAATTAGAGCCTTTCCTGGCTTGATTAATATTAGATGAAAACTATTTTATGGAGCGTGTTGCTAATAAACTGATAAGTAAAACGGGAACTTTAATAGAGTATTTAAAAACTAAACAATGTCTACAATTAGTCCCAATAATTAATAGCTGTTTATACAGGGTGGCCCAGGCTTTGTATAATCAGTCTTTCCAAACTATTATTTTTATTTACAGAATATGTCTCTCTAAAAATTTAGCGATTAGCGATTTATTTATATTCATATAAAGATGAATATAATATAATATTTTTACATTCCAGAGGCCCATCCTGAAAAATTCAACTCCAGACTACGAAACAAGATGTTTTATGGACAAATGGGCGGCAAAGATTTGCTCAAAAGGAAATGGAAAGGATTGGCCGATTTTGTCACGTTAGAATGTGACGGACAGGACATCACACCCAAGCTAAAGGAGCTGAGAGTACACGCTATCGTTTTTTTGAACATCGCAAGGTAAGTTTTTTCAAAATTTCAAAAAAGTCAGTTGTTTTTTTCAAACGTCACAAAAGTATTACTTTTTGTGTTGTGATTTAAGCTTGATCTTCATGCATCCGTTATCCGACGATACGATGATACGATATTAATTTTATTGGTTGAATTTATTGGTTGAACTTCGGTTGGTTAGTAACGGTTAACCAATCGAAGCCTTTAAATTCAACCAATAAATTTAATATCGTATCATCGTATCGTCGGACAACGGATGCATGAAAATCAAGCTTTAGGCTGTATTCCGTTGCAAAACCACGTGAACCAGACCGGTAAACTACGGTAAAGAGCGGTTAAAATACTGGAAACGTCAAATGTTAGGTTAGATTAGACGTTTTCCAAATTTTGATACCTCTATTATTTTATCTTTTATGCATTTTTAATGTACCTATTCTCTGCTTTTACGTTTGCTTCTTCTTTTCAATGGTGTTTAATATTGAAAAGTACTTTATTAATAAACTGTTAAACTCGTTAGACAGCTCAAGTGAAGATTTGCAGGTCCAAAATTAAAACAAATCGATAGTAAATAAACAAATCTAATCAATATTTATATTTTTATAGCTTACAAAACATTCACGATTACTTGTTGTCTTGTTTTTCATGTTTTCTTTAAATGTTCCTGACTTTAAGAAACAATGACTGCATAAGTTTAAATGGTCCTAAAAAGTCATTCTATTTAGTTAATGAAATTTATTTACCTTTACTGCCTACCTCCGTTGCTTTTGGATGTAAATACAAAATATTATTACAAATTTTAGAAATTAAATGAGAATTTCACTCGAACTTCCAATATTTGCTTGATTTCTGTCACATAAATAACATTGATTGACATACAAAACCAGAAAAAACAGCCTTCTCGCGCTGGTTAGTTTGGTGACAGTTAAAACCGAATTTTTCAGGAACTGTGTTCCGTAATAAGAAAACTTTCAGGAAACCGATAGAAACGGAACATAAAACCATAACCAAGGTAAGCAACGGAATGCACCCTAACATTATAAAACAACATTATTAAACAATAACCAAAATATGACATCGAATAAATTATTAGATTGTTTTTAGTAATCTATACTTATCTACAGGGTGTCCTGTTTTAAAATTAAATCTGAGTTATTGATATTTTTGATAAACTTGGAGAATAACTTTCGTGGAATAGCCAATAGTCAAAATTTGACGTCGAATAAATTATGATTTTTGAACCCCGAGAGATTTTTGTTTTTATGAGATACTTTCAATAATTTTATGTCAAAAATATAAAAAAAAATCTTTGCAAAGCGGAAGATCATGATTTTTCTTTTGACATATGTTTTACTTTACGTATCATTTTTTTTCTGCAAAAAACTCTAATGAAGTAACAAAAAAAGGGTAGGCTCTATAGTGATTAGAAGAATTTAGAATTTAGAATGAGTGGGAGGGGGGTTAATCACTTCGACCTTACAGATCCATTGTGTCCCCCTTTCTTGAATCATAACTCATCATACAGTCCCAGGGCTTTGACAAAAGCCAGTATCTGGGACGGTTTTATAGAGGGTAGTTCTCCATCTCCAATATCAATCGTCCCAAAGTTCATGGCACGAATGGTTGTCGTCTCGGCGCACTCAGTGATGAGGTGTACTGGTGTTTCACCATCTTCCCCACAGAATCTGCATTCGCCGTTTCTTCTTAGTTTCAATCTACTGAGGTGTTCATTGAGGAGACAGTGTCCTGTTAAAAACCCCGTGACAATCCGAAGATTGTCCTTACTCAGACCCAGGAAGATCTGTGATTTTTCTTGATCATAAGCCCTCAGAAACTTCTTCGAGTGTCTTAGACCATTGCAAGATTTCCATTCCAGGTTGCGGATGGAATCTTCCAAGTTCTTGAGTTCCGCCTTGAGTTGGTTACCACTTGGAAAGCAGAACGGTTCTGGTCCATTTAGTGGAGTGTTCGCTCCTTTCCTAGCTAGATTATTTGCTTTTTCATTGCCTTCTATCCCTTGGTGAGCAGGCACCCAGTGTAGGAGGACTTTGTTTTCTTTGCCTAATTTATTCAGCTTCTCTATGCATTCTTTGACCAATTTCGAATTGATTGATACTGAGTTAATCGCCTTTAACGCTGCTTGACTATCAGATAAGATGGCTATTTCTTGTTTCCGATAGTTCCTATCTAAGATAAGTTGTACGCATCTCTCGATAGAGTAGATTTCTGCCTGTAGGATACTAGGGTAAGTGCCCATTGGTTCGGAGTAATTAGCTCTCGGCCCAAACACTCCGATCCCTGTTCCCGTTATAGTGATGTAACAGCGAATGCGAAGTTGTCATTTGAGAAATGAATTAAAAAGTTAGAACAGACAAAACGGGTTAAAGGTGAACAATGCACAGTACATACTGTTATTTTTTCCAGGCTAGTCAAAACATGAATCTGGGTAAAGGCAACTCAAAAGGTTTAATATGCTTTGCTTCTATTGTTTTTCATAGTCATTATACTCTATTCAAAATCTCATATACGCAAAATGTAATTGCCAATTTTGACTTATATTCTACGTATATGATGATTATTTAAAGTTTATTTAATATATATTTATTCACGTAAAAATAAGATTTATTTTTCATATCAACATAAGTTCGATTCTGCTTTGTTTCGTAGCTACAGGGTGTTAAAAGTCTTAATATTTTTTCGATTTATTATAATTTTCTTCCAAGTACGTACTTACTTTTAGCGTCCCGAATTAAAATTAGCGTTAGCAGCAAAAAGGATATGTCAACTTAAAATGCTATTTTACATTTTTTTAGTATGAATATACAATTCTGGTATATCTTAATAAGTAAGGGTATAATAGTAAATCCTGTATTTTTGTTACAGTTATGGTGGAGGGACCAAACCGTGGAACAGATCGATGGGATCTTCAGATCCCAGCACAGAGGATGGACTTATCGAAGTCCTAGGCCTGACCACATATCAGCTTGTGAGTAAGTTAGGGGTAGTTTTTTCCTTTTTCGCATGATTTTTGTTATCTGTTCGCAGTTCTTTAATAAAATGTTCGCTATTATACAGTGTGGTCCGAAGTGTATTCCGGAAACTTCGGCAGCATATTCTGCAGATAAAAATACATAGCTGTAAAAAAGTAAAAAAAAAGTTTTTTACAGGTACGGATGAAAAGTTGTTACTCTTCAAAACAGTTAAAACATATATAGGTGACGCCCCCTACAAATAGGAGTCTTATTGACATCAAAATTAAATTTTTTACGTTAAAAAACTCCCAGACACTAATTTTCATCCAAATATTAAGGTTAGTTCAGAAATTATTTGGAAAAAATCGAAATAAAAAAGAAACTTCTACACCCTGTATCTCCGAAACTAAGCATTTTAAGACATACATTTATTCGAACTTTTTTACTTATATTTATCTGCAGAATATGCTGCCGAAATTTCTGGAATACAGTTCGGACCACCCTGTATATCGACTCGTATCCTGCAATATTTCCTGACATTTTTAAGTCGTTTATGTCAATTTAACTACTAATAAAAGCATAAAATAAAACTAATGTGAATTATTTAATGTTTTGTTAAATAAACATAGCAATAGTAACAAATATCCATAAAAAATGTAAAACATAACACGAAATGATAGAAAAACAAACACTTATTTTCTTTCCCTGAGAAGTTAGCCTATCAACACTTTGCAGGCTCCAAGTCGATATGCTTTATTCTGCTTATTTTTCTTTTTTAATATAATATTTAAATTTTATTTTCTTAGGTATGAATTGCACTATTAATTCGTAAAACTTTTTTTATTTAATAATACATTTTCTTTCTTTTTCTAACTTTTATAAAAAAAATATAATTAAATTAATTATTTTATTCTATAATAATTTTAAATAAATATACAAACAGAAAATTAAATGATACAATTTAAATGTATCATTATTTATATGCTAAAATATGATACAATTTTCAGTAATAATATATTTTCATAATATTAGTACCAGAATTCATAATAAATCTCACGTTATAACAATTAAACAAAATGTGTTACTTATTTTTTACAACTTATATTGTTTTTTTTTATTGCATGCTTACTGCATGAAATTAAACATGTTTTCAATGATTGATGAATTTATTTGTAATACAAAATTCCGTTAAACATATCATTAACTATTTGGCGCAAATAATTCTTGCACTGCTGCAGTAAAATTGGAAATTAACAAGTATGACTTGCATTACCGAATGCAGATGATATAAATTTACTGTCGATTTGTATTTCTACTTATTGCTATACTGCAGTAATCGGGTAGTTATAAAATGTTAATTATACAAGGGGGGAAACATTAATAATTATAATAGGTGGATTTATTATTTTGCATAGTTCATAGGTGATGAATTAAAACGGAAGATAAATGAAACATACGCATTAAAAAAACCATTATACAGGGTTGCCTAACATGTATGGGAACGGTCGATTATTAGGTAAAATATAAGAGATACCGCAAAAAGTTAAATATAAAAGTTATAGGGTCTTTAAATATCTATTAGCGGCTAATAAATTTAAGTATACAGGGTTGGTCATAAAGTCACATGAAAGTTTCATTTTTTTAAATGGAAGCCCCTGTATATTATTACATATTTCTGTTCTTCCTTTAATTCACAGCAAAAATCGAGATACACATAATGTACCTCAAACCAACCGTTTCCGAGTTATTGACTTTTAAAAATATCACTTAAACAATTCGATTTAATTAATTTCGATGTGTTCTCACCGTTTTTTAAATAAAAAATATTGTAATATTTGAGGGATGGTTTCACCCCCTTGGAACTGGAATTTCGAAAAATCCCTTCTTATCAAACCTCTACACCCTAGAATCAACCTGTATGCCAATATTGAGCTTCTTACGTTGAGTGGTTTGAGCAGGATCGTGATTAATCAGTGAGTCACTCACTTAAGGATTTTATATATTAGTATAGATTACTAAAAAAATCATGAAAATAGCGTTAAAAATAAAAAATGTAATTAACTTTTACGAAAAAAAAATTATATTGCGTTTTTTACATCTAAGTTTAGTTATATCAACAAAATCTTATATTTCTTTCCAGCAATCCCTAAAACACATCCGACACGTGTTGCTCTCCCCTTCCGCGACCTTAACCTCACATTTTAATTTGCCCCTTAATGAACTCTCTTTCTCCTGCGCCAATCTAAACTTGTTGAATTTTCATGAAATTTTAACTCGGCCATCTCAAAGCTTCGGGCCCCACGTAAAACCGAGACCCTTAATGTACGAAGTCTGTCATTTATTAAGGGGTTATTGCGAATGAGGGGCGCCCTCTGTTGGTTTAATAATGAATCAACAGATTCGGCGAGCGTGCGGTTAGGGATGGCAGTTATTTTTAGTCGTGGTAAAAAGATGGACGTGATCTGATGCGTTAAGAAGTATGTAGATTGGTTTAGGAAGTTTTAGAATGTTTGTTAGTTCATACATGGTGAGCGTTGTTTATACAGGGTTTATACAAAAAACTTGTGCCATGTCTCGTAGAAAGATTCCTCACATAGGTCCGATTCTGCTTTGTTTCGTAGCTACAGGGTGTTAAATTCTCATAATTATTAAAATTAAAATAAAAAATAAAAATTAATTTTATTTTTATTTTAGTTTTATTAATTACGATTAATTAAATTGCATTTATCTCATCAAGGAAGCAGAATTCGACAAAATATCAAGAGATAACTTTTAATTGGCATTAAACGGCCTACACAATTTTGGTATCAAAAGAAAAAAGTCATTGGCGCACATGTTTTTTTTTAAATATTCCAGTGATAACCCATATGCACGTCCTTGATGAATTTATTCACACTTTTTTAGCATTAAAATATGTAACACTTATAGTAACTTTTACCCTCAAAATTTCATTCGAATCACTAAAAGTACTTGGAAAATTATAATAAATCAAAAGATTATTAAGACTTTAACACCCTGTAGTTACGAAACAAAGCAGAATCGGACCTATGTTGATATGAAAAATATGTCTCATTTTTACGTGAGGAATCTCCCCACGAAATATGGTACATGTTTTTTGAAACACCCTGTAATATATTTAGGATTGTTAAAGTCCTATCATACAGTCAAAAAATAAAGACCGCATTATTTTTTGTTTTCTTATATTTACAGTCGAACTCGCTTGTAACGTACTTGGAGAAACAGAAAAATATGTACGCTATAACCGAGTATTTGTTATTTCCGATTTGTATTTAAATCTGTGATATATAATAAGAAACTTTAAGTTACTAAAATAAGAAAATATATTTTGAAGTATAAGTAAGCAAACGTTGTTATACTCTGTCACTGTTAATATTTTACAGCATAACACCAGAGAAATTAGTGTACAAAACACAATTCTTCTTAATTTAATTTTGTATTAATATTTAAAAGAACAATTATGTTTCCAATTTAGGCAGCGCTCGACATTTTGGAAATACGGATTAAAAGATTTGAAGAGCAAAATTGGAAACCTCGGAAAACAAGGAAAGTCTTCCATCTGCATTTTTAAAATATTGATTAATAAATAAGACAAGGAAATTTATTAATTAAATTTTCTAATACTCACTGCCTCAGGCAAATATTGTAAATGGCAAACCATACCATACAAAACGGAGGTATCCAAAATATTATACATATACGAGCGTGTACCAGCGACTTCGTTCGCGTCGAATTAATCATTTGTAATGGTGATGATAAAGCAAAGCAAGAATTTCTATTAACATAAAAACTGGTTAAAATTTTCTCACATTTATGTCAGCATGAGAAAAAACAATATGGCGATATTATTATATAACTTGGTAATGTTTGAGGGGTAGTTTCATCTCGTTGGAATTTGACTTTCGAAAAGACCGTTTGCCAAAAATAAGCTTTTTACGTCAAGCAGTTTAAGCAGAATCGTGGTTAAGAAATTACCCAACTTTTTGGAACACCCTGTATGATTTTAAAAAAATTTCAAAATATGTAAAAAAACAAATAAATTATGCAGTCAATCCGTTTTCCAAAAATCAGCGTTTTACGTCAAGCACTTTAAGCAGGATCGTGATTAATCTATGACCGGATTTTTCGAAACACCCTGTATACATTTTTAAAAAATCTTAAGATATGTAAAAAAACAAAATAAAATATACGGGTTTAAGCGTTTTTTCGGAAACTTGACCGTTTTTTAAATAAAAAAATATTGTAATATTTGAGGGGTGGTTTCACCCCCTTGGAACTGGAATTTCGAAAAATCCCTTCTTATCGAACATCTACACCCTAGAATCAACCTGTATGCCAAAATTGAGCTTCTTACGTTGAGTGGTTTGAGCAGGATCGTGATTAATCAGTAGTCACTTAAGGATTTTATATATTATTATAGATAAGTTATTTGAAAGCCAATTTTCTTGGACTAATTTCACTGTTTGACTTTCAAAACCACAGTTATTTAATTTCAAATTGAAGCTTTGGAGTGTTTGCTTTATCCACATCTATACACATTTTTCGTAGTTTTTTTTCAGGTTTATAATAAAACCCAAAAAATTATCACTAAAAATATCCAGCTTTACTGATTATCTATGTATCATATTTCTATTGAAAAAACCTCTTTTTGCATTAAACATTTTACGGGTATTTTCGATAAATAAAAGCCGTTTTTTTTATTTTCCGGCACTGAACGATCGTTTGAAAATTCGTTTTGAAATGACCTGACCGCCTGCAGTTCGATAATTAAACGGGCAAAAATACGGATGCACCGCCACGAACCAATTAGAATTAATTACCGGATTTTTGTGCTTTTGTGGACTGTATTTTCAGCCGAAATTTCCACTCAAATATAGATAAAAAGCTATGAATACTATCCCTATCATATTTTTGGGCTATCATAAATTAAACGCACACGCTTTATTATTTGAATATCATACTTTGGATGATTTTTTTTATTATCAGAGCATTTATTAGTTTTTAAATGTATTTTTTATATTTTTATGAACATCTTGTATAATATTCGAACACGAAACGAATCAATACTAGTCCTTTCTGTCCAAGACAAATTTTCCATTACTATTCAATATTGATATGACACGTGAAGTAAAGAACATTATTAAATAAATTTCGCTAGAACAGACCCGGATTTTTTTATTAAATGTGAATGACTGTTTTATTTCAAACATCAATATCAATAAATTTTATATCAAGCATCAAAACTCGTTTCAAACAAAAGCATTATTGAATATTAGGGATGACAAAAAAAAAGATCAATATCAATTACGGTTTAGTCCGAAAACCGTTGTTCACGACACTTTATTACAGAACTTTTCTGCCTGGGCATATCGAGTATAGCACGCTAAAACAACTGTCAAAGTTCGTAGACCTTTGCCAAAGCTCGGTCGCAGCCCCTAAAACTACGACAACAAAAAAAGTGCAAAAAACGGTCTGAATGTATCTCGCTGCTGGGAAAACTATCGTTTGTCAGCCGTTTCTAGAACTTTTATCGTTTACCTTGTTGCCGTTCTCTTTTAAGTATAACTTCTTATCTTTGACGAATTCAAGTTTATATGACGAGTCGTTAGAGAATATGCGCATCGTATATAAAAGGATTGTGTTTTATAATGATGTAATAATATGTCGTATGTTAGTGCTAGAATTACCGAAAATATTGTGTATCAAGCAATAAGGCGTTGAGAATGGAAAACATAATTTGAGATACTGCTAAAGTATGCACATTTACATTTATGTAGGTAAATAAAAGTAAAATATTGTATGTCGGTAAGCACATCACTTAAAAATGGCTGAAACAATTTAATGTTTTTCACTTTATATCTTTAACGTAAGTTTTAACGTAATACGCGCTATAGCAAACACTTTAAAGCCACTAAGGAAAATACTAACAAATTTATTAACAGTAACACACTAGAATTGTTTTAGAAGATAACTAGATCATAAAATTTACTCAACTTTTAATAGCTTTTAAATGTATTTTATATATTTTTATGAACATCTTGTATAATATTCGAACAAAAAACGAATCAGTGCTAGTCCTCTATGTCAAAGACAAATTTTCCATTACTAAATAATACTGATATGATACATGAAGTAAGTAACATTATTAAATAATAAATATCGCCAGAACAGACCCGGATTTTATTTATTAAATGTGAATGACACATGTTTTATTTCAAACATCAATATCAATAAATTTTATATAAGTATAAAACCCGTTTCAAACAATAGCATTATTGAAAAATAAGGTTTTGTCTCCGACAACAACAAAAAAAAAGATCAATATCAATTACGGTTTAGTCCGAAATCCGTTGTTCGCAGCACTTTATTACAAAACTTTTCTGCTCAGGCATATCGAATATAGCACGCGAAAATAACTGTCAAGTTCGTAGACCTTTGCCATAGCTCGGTCACAGTCCCTTAAACTACGACGGCAAAAAAAGAATAAAAAGTCGTCTGAATGTATCCCGCTGCTGGAACAACTATCGTTTTTCAGCCGTTATCGGAACTTTTGTCGTTTAACTTGTTGCCATTCTATTTTAAGTAAAACTTCTTATCTCTAACGTGAATTCGGAGGTTTGTATAGCGCGTCGTTAGAGAAAATGCGTCTCGTTTACAAGAGGATTATGTTTAATAATGATAGTAAATATGTTTTATAATATGCTAGAATTACCGAAAATACTGTGTACCAAACAAAGAGGCGTTGAGAATGGAAACTATAATTTATAGCTTATAAACTGTAAAATAGCTAGTGTATACACAGATACTTTTATCTCGATAAACAGAAATGATCTCCTGTTTGTTGACAAGCGCTTCATTTGATAACAGCTGAAAAAAATTAGCAGTTAATAATAATTTTGACAAACAACAGGCAGTATTCCGTTGCAAAACCAGGCGAACCAGGACGGGTAAACTACGGTAAAGAGCGGTTCCTGAAAAACATCGGTTTGATACGTAACGGTTTAGTAAAATATTGGAAACGTCAAATGTTGACGATTTCTAAATTTCAATACCTCTATTATAAAATTTATTTTTTATGCATTTTTAATTTACCTATTCTCTGTTTTCTCGTTTGCTTCTTCTTATCAATTGAGTTTAATATTGAAAAGTACTTTATTAATAAACTGTTAAACTCGTTAGACAGCTCAAGTGAAGATTTGCAGGTCCAATATTAAAACAGATCAATAATCAATAAACAAATCTAATCAATATTTATATTTTTATAGCTTACAAAACATTCACGATTACTTGTTCTCTTATTTTTCATGTTTTCTTTAAATGTTCCTTGTTTAGATGGTCCTAAAAAGTCATTCTATTTAGTTAATGAAATTTATTTACCTTTACTGCCTACCTCCATTGCTTTTGGATGTGAATACAAAATATTATTGCAAATTTTAGAAATTAAATGAGAATTTCATTCGAACTTCCAATATTTGCTTGATTTCTGTCACATAAATGACATTGATTGACAAACAAAACCAGAAAAACCAGCCTTCTCGCGCTGGTTAGTTTGGTGACAGTTATAACCGAATTTTTCAGGAATCGTGTTCCGTAATAAGAAAACTTTCAGGAAACCGATAGAAAAGGAACATAAAACCATTACCAAGGTAAGCAACGGAATACACCCTAAGTATTTCATTTGAGTTTGAATGTCATCTAAAAAAACTGAGTGACAACAAATCTACATGTCTAGGTTTTTTGAGCGCCTAGTGATGAATCATTTATTTCATCATGTAATTTAAATATGTCTTATTATCTTGATATTTAAATAAAGATAAAAATATCTAGAATTAAAGTACTTTTGTTTGTTGCAGCCACTTCTGCAAGCAGGCGGACATGGGACTTGTATTACACAATGTCGATCAGCTAAAATCGTCACATCAAAAACAATACCAATGCAAGTAAGTACTTATCGTATGTAACATAATTCCAATATTATCTACAGGATGTTTTTAGATAAGTTCGTGTTAGATAAATTTCAAAAAACTTTATTCGAAAATGTTGCTCTTATTCTAATTTTACGTAAATGTACCAATTTCCAGCCCTTTAGATAAAGCAATTCATACATTTTTTATCTCTAATTATCCAATTTTTCTATCTCTAATAGTTTAAGTTACCAACAGGTATTTGCATATCTAGATACTGATTGGGATCAGCCATCACTACTACAAGCTATTCAACGCAGTAGTGTTTACAAAAAATAATACTTTAATTTTGTAGATTTCTTTTTCAGATGAAAAAAAACGAGACTTTTTTTCAAGAACAGTAGCAATATATTTTTTTAAGTTTTGTAATATGCAAAGTTTTTCAAAGTTATTTACCGTAACTTCACACACCTGCTGCTCTATTCTATTTTTTCTCCTTTTTTTTGTTCTCTAACTTTAGGCTATTGCGGTCTAAACTTCGACCAGAATTGGCCGTATATCTTTCGGCAGAGTCGTTCAAAAAATCACCGGAGTTAAGAAAAATTGCCCCATAAAAGTAAAACGCTCTTTAAATATAGTACCTACGCTTAATATTAAAATGAAAGGCTTGTAACAGGTAATCCTGTTGATATACGGGGTGATATTTAAGATATTTTTTAAGTAACTATATTTTTGAAAAGTTTATCTTTAAAACTATGCATTTTCAGGCGATATTTATTGAAACTTTTTCATATTTTTTGATTAGGAATTACCCCCCTGTATATAGTTTATTAAAATCCATTTTTCTTGCTGCAGGTAGACGGCGAAGCTTGTAAACTGAAGCCATCAATAATCACGTTGACGCATTTGAACAGGGCGCCCATGTTGGCCAAACGGAAATGCGGCAAAGTGATAGCACCGCAAACAGCGCTGGACAACCTCAAAATCACCGTTCACAAAATTAGCATGGCCGACTACGAGCAACACCATTACGAAAAAGATTTATTAGCCCAAGCAGGTAAGAGTATTTCTAACATAGATATGCATTGGCGATTCCTCGGTATGTACTGTTGTTAAAAAGTTTTTTCTGTTTTCATTATGATTAATAATTAATTGATTTTTCAGCAATAACAGTTGGTACTATCGAAGTAAACCCAACAGCGGACTTGGAACACGTCAGGGGAATAATCAACAAACACGTCGAATCAAACAAAGAAGTGGGAGTGAGTCCAGAATGGTGCTTCGTTGACTGTAAGTATAGTCTGTCAAGAGTCTGTCCAACGACAAGATCCTTGTCAGTGGTAGATGTGTCTGTCATTTTAATTTCAAAGCAGTTTATTTTATTTTACAAAGAAATAAGTAACGCATAGCAGGAAATTAATATATTTAAAATTTGACTGATAAGTGACTACTTCAAAATATTGTGAAAAGAAACTGTATAAAACTGAAAATATGTAATCGAGTTATTTTATTTAAATAAAACGGTATGTGTTAATACAAAACCAACGAGAACAAAACACCACATACCAAAAAAATGTAAAAAAGAACTATTTCTTACTTTCCAGCTTCAAGAAACTTCCCGCATTTATTATTATATTTATCAATATAACTTATACAAATACAAATTTGTAATATTCCACAGGAATAAATAAAACAACATAAATAAAACAAACTATTTTATTAATAATAACATTTATCAAATTTTATACCTTAAAGGTTGATTAATTAACTTTAATCTTAATTTTTTTAAACCAGTACCTTTTGACATTATTTTTCTGCAGTGCTAAAATCCATTATGTACCTATCGTGTGATGTCGATATTTTACAGCTACTCGAGTTTTTAGTATATGTTTATTTCGATAATCCTTGTACCATATACGAGATGCACTTATCTACGACGAGATGATATACAAACTTTATTGATGGTAACTTTATTGGTGTATAAGACTTTCTGCCTGGGCAGCAAGTATTAACTATAAACTGTGCTTCTGGGTCTACAGTTAATTTTCCCTCGATTTTTCCTCCACTTGACTCCAAAAGACACAAAACACGTAATAACACGAATCAAAATGCATCATCTTCCAAAACGCAGATATTTGACATAAGTTGACACAAAATTATAACCTATATTTTGGCAAGACTTTGACAACCCTCAAAAATCTAAAGGCGAGTTCATACGCATCGGCGTCCGTTTGTCGTTCATCGTTCCGTCAAACCAATAAAATTGAAATATGATCTGTCATTTTTTAAATAAACCAATAAAACTGGTTAAAAACAACAAGAAACGACGTATGACGGATTTATATTTAAACCCATCCATAGTTAACTTAAAAAATATTAGAAACTTTTTTTAGTAAAATAAACAGATTGGTATGGACGTCGTCTGCTTTTTTTTCTGTCATCGTCTGTCGAAATCTTACCTGAGAGAGAAAAAAAACAGATTTTTTTAGTATAGATTTTTTTCTCAACTACCTCATTGTCAGTACCCTCTGTATTATAAAGTCCATCACATCTAAAGGTTAACCAATTTTATTTATTTTTTTATTAATTTTATGACAATGTTACATAATGCATCTTTCTCTAGGATTTGAGAAACCTTGTGATTTCTCGATATTATATTCTCGTCTCGACTAAAGACAAATTTATCGAGAATTTTCAAGCACAAACCCTAAAACACCGATAAAATGAAGTCTTTATTATATTTTTAAGATTATTTTTATTTCCAACCACAAATTACTCTTATTAATATGCAATTCGTCCTCCACTTCGACCAGAAAACTAAAGTAAAGCTGAAATTAAAGAAATAAACAACGGCAAACCGATAAAACAGAAGACCAGACTATTACAAAGGGAAAATTCAAAAATATTTATGTCTATTACGTGACGAGAAAGACTGGAAATGAACTGCTTATTTTAGTTACAGCGAGCGCAGGCTTTTAATTACAATTTACGGCGTGCTTGGAAAAATGAATATCACTTTTAGAGCTAGCTCTCACTCCGAGTGTCATTTAGGATTCGAAATGCCATTTAAGATAGTTCAGATTGAAAATGGGTACAATGTAGACGTTGTGGAGTAAAATTTAACTTGCAGAGATACCTGTCGTATACCGGGTGTTTTTTTCAAAAGTGGAACTTTTTAAACACTGGATTTTTTGTGGGGTTTCTTTTTCCCAGTAAATTTAATATTCTACCTATGTTGCCATAAAATCAATATATTATGTTTTTTAACAAAAAATTAAAAAAAAATACAATTTTTTTTCGAAAAATACCAAATTTTTAATTTTTTTTTTCGGGTAAAAATCCTCATCGATCTCTTTCTGGGTCCAAAATATACTACACTAAAAATATTTGTACTTGCTTAAGACTCATCCTGTATAAATCGAGTTTCAATATGGAGTCTATTTATATTGAAATTGTTAATTAAACGTAGGCCTTTCCTAAAATAAAAATAACGTTCTGGTATTCCAGCTATTTCCCCTTTTTATCAAAAATTCTGGCGGAGTTTTTTAACCAAATTAACTTTTATAAGCTTAATTAAAAATCAAATAACACGCACAAAGAGTTTTCAGCTTTTAAACGCTTTCACAAAAGTTGAAGCTTGTCACATTCTACGTATATGTCCATGCATGTATTTTTATAATTATTATAAAAATGTGTAACTTATTTAACCTGAGAGAAATATTTTTATGAAATAAGTTAATTAATTTTTATTAGTTGAGAAAATTTAATTTTATAGAAATTGGTTTTGGATTTTTGTTTTACATTAAGTTATAATTACATTAGAGAGGAAAATTTGTCTGCTAAATAAAAATAAAAAATACTCCAATACATTCCAGTTCCAAGGGGGTGAAACCACCCCAGTGGATATGCAACCTATGTTCTGTCCTTTCGTGACCAAAGTGGTGGGGGTAAATTCCAAGGCCTAAGCTGTCTCAAAGGTATAGATCACCTAATAAACAACGTTCGTATATAAGTCAAATACCATATAAAAACGCCATTCACCATATGTCATATACCTAACTCATACTATACGAGGCATACATAATAACCCATACGTAATATAACTGAGATATTACAATATTTTTTATTTAAAAAACGGTCAAGTTTCGGAAAAAACGCTTAAGCACGCATATTTTATTTTGTTTTTTACATATTTTAAGATTTTTTAAAAACGTATACAGGGTGTTTCGAAAAATCTGGTCATTGGTTAATCACGGTCCTGCTTAAAGCGCTTGACGTAAAAAGCTGATTTTTGGAAAACGGATTGACTTTAGGGTGTAGAGGTTCGTTAAGAAGGGATTTTTCGAAATTCGAATTCTAAGGGGGTGAAACCACCCCTCAAATATTAGAATATTTTTTATTTAAAAACCGGTGAGTTTTTCGGAAAAACTCTTAAACACGTATATTTTATTTTGTTGTTTTACATATTTTAAGATTTTTTAAAAATTTATACAGGGTGTTTCATAAAATCTTTCATAAGAAAATGATTTTTATCTTTCATATTTAGTAACTGCCAAAATATAATAATATCGCTATATTGTTTTTTCTCATGCTGACATAAATGTGAGAAAATTTTATCCAGTTTGTATGTTAATGGAAAATCTTGCTTTGCTTTATCATCACCATTACAAATGACTAATTCGACGCGGGTACACGCTAGTATTCAATATAAAACCCGTATGAACGGCACTGGTTGAAACAAATATAATTCTTCGTACATCAAAAAAGGTATTTTGATGCATAGAAGACGTGTATCAAGTTTCATAAAGATATCTCTGTATCTGAGAAGTTAAGATATTTAGGACATACATTCATATGAAGTTTTTCTCTTAAAATAGGTCCAAGAATCACCTCCTTAAATATTAGCATGTCATTAAGGAACACCCTGTAGTTTAGAAATTATTAGGAAAAAACTTCTTTAAAACCAAGCATTTTAGGACATAAATTTATAACTTTTTACTCATTATCAGCAGAATATACTGAAGTTTTCCGAATATAACTCGAACCATCCTGTATATTCAATTGCCATTTTTCTTTCTAGCCTGTACCGCTGAGCGATTCTTTCGGATAGACCGGGCGCAGGAAAACCTGCACTACGTCATGGACATCGCGAGCGAGGACCTCTACATCCTGGAATGCGGGGGCGGCACAGCGCCACACACCCCCGAGGACGAAACGGCCGCCCCCTCGCCCAGTTCCAACCATCAGACGCCGCACGTCATACCGGAAATGAGAATAAGGTATGTGGTATAGATAGGGCTCCTAGACGTCCAGATTTACCCGGAGATGTCCGAGATTTTAGTGTTTCCGGGAAATTTGAAAAAATATCCGGGTAATCTAACAGTAAGAGCTTTATTGAATAAACGTAACTTTCTTGAATGTTTTGATCGTTATGATGTTACATATTTGTTACACACGATTCGGCTTCACATATTTTTAAGCCAAGTCCTTTTTTCAGTTAAGTAACATTAGTATTGTTGAATAAGTTTTGTCGCTTTTATTGAAAATATACATGGTTATTCACCTCATTCGACACGTAGTATTGAAGCCACACGGTTAGATTTTTCGAAATTATGAGTGATGGGATCGTTGGAGTACTACTAAAGCTACAATTTAAAATTATTTTCAAAAGGTACAGAGTGTCCCAAACCAATAAAGCATATCAAAGTTATATTTTTTTTTAATGGAAGACCCTTATATTATTACATTTTTAGTTTCTACGATTAAAATAAAGGTAAATTTAATTAGTATATTACCGTTTTTAAAATATTTACGATTTTGTGAAAAACCAGTAACCATTTTATTGCTTTATTTCTCTAGGTGTATTTAAGTTTTTAAAACCAAATATTGTACTGAAATGTTTCTATTTACTTAATTTTTGTGTTACAATAAAAAAATAATGCTACCTTATACATACAGAGTATCTAAACATTTATTTTTAATAATTACTGTCTTTCAAGAACAATAACTTGTTTAATACACCCTGTATAGTTTACGAGAATCAGATGTACAATTTAATTGTTGATCAAATTGAATTATACCATTTTTTACCTATCTTTTCAAGTTTTCGTAGAAAATGCATTTTCTTATAATTCCTCATTATCCATATATAACTATGGAATATATTGACATTTTAGATTATTGTTCAAAGATTATATACAAGGTGAGTTTAAAATAAGTGCAAATATTTTCAGGGCTGGTAAATCCCGATAAAAGAAACATATTCTCTCTTTACGTTTTTTCAAATAATTCTAAAATAACCGAGATATTTTACTTTGAAAATTTCCAAAAAAAAAATATTTTTTGCTAAAATTTTGAGAACCACTGGATCTTTTCTTGATTTTCTTTCATCTAAATTTGCCATATTATCAACAAATTACAATTTTTAACTAAAAATTAAAAAAGAATTCCAAAAATTCCAAATTTTCAATTTTTTTTTTCGTGAAAAAAAACCTCATAATCGTGTTTCTGGGGTCAAAATATACTACCCCAAAAAATATTTGCCCTTATTTAAGACTCACCCGGTATAACAAATTTTCAAAGAGTGCAAATACTAATATATTCGATGTAGTTCGCCTATTTCATTAAAAAATAAAAAAATATTGTTTAAATATTTGTAAAAGAGGACCAATTAATATGATCCCAGTATTCAAACTATAACTGCGTTGATTAATAACTGAAGGGGTGGCTGCAATAACCAGACAGCTCCACTTTTTTTCGAAAATGAGATTTTTAATGAATTACGCTTTAAAAAAATTGGCCGATCGTTTCCTGCAACAATCAATATAACAGAACATAAATGGCGATGTTAGTTGTAGCTGCCTTGCTCTGGGTTCGCAGCTAGAACCGAGCAGCTCTATTTCGATTTCCCAGAAATTTATTAAAATGGAGCTGCCTGGTTATTTCAGCCACCCCTTCAATTGTTCCAAATACTAAATTGCATTACTACTATATTTCCAAATAAATAAAATTTCCGGGCCAAAATCGACCTTCTTTTACTTATTCCGATTTGAAAGATTTTTGGGCTTGCATCGATGCAGATTGATTAATTAAATTGTTTAGTATACACAGTTTTTCAAAAAAATACATACAGGGTAAGAAAAAATATAAAAACCGGTTTTTTCATTTTCGGCATTTTTTTTAAAATACAACATAAAGGGGTCAAATTGAATTTAGAATTTTAACATTAACGTCTTCTAACCATACCAGGTAGGAAAAGTGTAAATGTTAATAAATAAAAAAAAATTCGGAAAATCGACAATCGAAATCTTTCAAATTAAATATCTCGGAAACTGTGCATTTTCGAAACACAGTTTAAATGGAGCGAATATAGAGCTCCACTAGCTCTATCCGTATCTCACTGATCGTTTAGCTACTTATTTTTTTATTTACACCTTTAAAAAAAATCATAAATCGGACAAGTCTATGCGCCCAATTGTTTCGGCTGTAGGTTCTCCGACTTATAATTTGGCAAAATGGTTATCAAGGGAGTTGAAAATTTACCTGATCATGAACCTTCTTTCTCAGTTAAAAATAATATTGAATTCATTAACAAAATTAAAGATATAACATTGCATGAAGGTGAAATTTTGGTCTCCTTTGATGTATTCGTTGTTCCCAAGTGTTCCAATTCCACATACTTTAGGCTACTTGAAGGAATTACTGAACGCAAATGGTCTCGACAACAAAACTGTGAGTGAATATATTGAGCTTACATCGTTATGTATGAAACAAAATTGTTTTCAATTTAATAACAACTTTTTGAACAGCGGGAAGGTACAGCAATGGGTAATCCATTGTCTCCATTTTTGGCTAATTTATTCATGAGCAGGTTTGAAGTGGAGGCTAAGAATCAGTTTGAGTATTTTCCTCAAGAGTATGGTTTAGGTATGTGGATGATATTTTTTGCTGTTTTTGACACACATTCAGACACCATAGATAATTTTATTTCTAAGTTAAATAATCGTTTTCCTTCCATTAAATTTACGCATGGAATTGAGAACAACGACAGATTATCATTTCTAGATGTATTAGTTATTAGAAATACTAATAATTGCCTGGAATTTGATATCTATAGGAAAAATACGACCACACGCAGATATATTCCTAATGAATCACATCATAGTGTTGAACATAAAATGGCTAGTTTAAATTTCTTAGTTCATAGATTACTTAGTTTCCCACTTTCCAACGAAAAATATGAAATAGAAAGAGATTACATTAGGAATGTAGCTGAGTGTAATGGATATTCTCCTTCACTAGTTGATAAATTAATTAGAAAACGTAGGTATAGGTTAATGATTTCTGAAAATTCGACTTTTCAAGTGGAGAAAGATACGTCTAAATATTTTTCGATACCGTTTGATAGAGAGTTATCCCGTGGTCTAAAAGGAATTTTTAAGAATGTCAATTATAAACTTGTGTATAGTGCTAATAATAAATTACAACAATGATTAGGTAATCCAAAAGATAAAACACCTCCACTGGGAAGGTCGGGTATTTATGAAATTTCTTGTAAAGATTGTAATCAGAAATATGTTGGGCAAACTAGAAGATCAATATTAACTAGATTTAAAGAACATTTAGCTCAGATAATATATGGTAGACCGGATAAATCTTGCGTTGCCGAACATATTGTTGATAAAGAACATTGTATAGATCTTAATAATTTAAAATTAATTAAACAAGTCTCAAATTACAGGCAATTAGATGCATATGAAAGCATCAGAATTAATAAATGTAAAGATAGTATGAACAGAGTCAACGGTCCAATTCCTTCAAGTTCGTTGTTCCTACTACTCTAGTGGCGGAAATCTAACTGTTACGCTCAGTTGGCTCTGACTCGGTTGGCTAGATTTTGCCACGCCCACTCGGTGCCCACTGAGCGAGTATATAAACGCTCAACTTGTAGATTGTACTTTAGTTTATAATCATCTGCTGATGATGCTAACATGGTTAGCGAAACGCGCGTCCAGTGTAAAAGTAAAAGTGTTTTGGTGTATTGTAGTGATTTAGTGTAGTGTTTTTTTTTTCTACTGGTATAATTTAATTTAGCGACCAAACGCCATAATTTTCGAAGTGATTTCCACACTTAATTTTAACGTTAACACCTTAAAAATTATTTAGAATCATAAAAAAGGCCTCCTAAAAAACTCACGGGATTTAATATCTCGACCGAACCATCAGGAATATTTTTATTACAAGATCTATATAGTTGTGGGCAATATTAGAGTAGGGTAACACCGATATTACGAGAAATATACCGCGTGGAATGGCATTTCCCATACAGATTCTTTGACAGAATCCACCACAACCGCATTATAATTAATATGCAGATTTTCCACTGAGGTCCTCACTCGATCGGGGTATAGAGCCCATATCCAGAATTAATTTAGCGGAATGATTGAGCGCAAACAACCGTCTGCTCCACGCTGGATTCCAAAGACAATTACGTTGGTCAGTTAAGCCAGCACTATACGTCGCTCGGACGTTTGATCCAGGAGTGGACCTAAGCATTTGCGTCCAATAAGGTGGGCGGTTTGTAGGGTCAATGGATGTGATTGATACACAGGGTATAGCACGTATGTTTGATTGAAATCGAGTGAGTAATATTTGTATGAAATAAAATGGGTGTATTTCTGGAGAGTTTTAAGAATATCGCCAGTAAATCAAAAATGTTTAGAAATTTTTATACAACCAATCCCTTGTAAAGGTTCAGAATATATGCTAAATCTCTATTAATTGGTCTTTTATACAAGGTGTCTTAAATAAGTGCAAATATTTGAAGAGCTGGTAGATATCGATAAAAGAAACATATTTTTTTTCATATCAACTGTTAAAATTGCCTTATATCTATCAAAAATAGTCGATAAAATAGTACTTTAATCGCAAGGGTAGATTAATTGATACATTAACAGCGAGGATAGGTTAAAAACTTTATTTCTTCTCGCACGTTTTTTAATTGCTTCCATTTTTGAAAATGTTTGTATTCCTTTTCATAAGTTATTCGGGATTTAAATGAAAGTAGTTTGGATATGGCGTTTGTCGCCTCAGCCTGAATATCTGTTGGTAATTCACTTATTTCGTTTTGAGCCATTTCTGGCTCCAATTCAATCAGCAATCGACACGAAAGAGAATTAAAAAATATTGACTCAAAACTGACAACTAAAGAGACAGCTTTATTTATTTGTCAAGTTACATAGAAACCAACGCCAACCCAGCACAATATTTTTTCTACTCGTAATAAATTCCTTGAAATAATAATTTCTGAATATTTTTTAAAACGTAACTCGCTGTTGAAAAAAGTATTGTTTTATATACACGAAGATAAAATTGCATTATCGTGTCCCGAAATTAATTCAACCGCTGGATAATTTCTGAGTTTTCTTTCTTGTAAATTTAATGTGCTACCTGTTGCCATATTATGAAGATTTTTTTTTACTAAAGATTCCCAAAAAAAATCTCAAATTATTTTTCAAAAAATTCCAAGTTTACAATTTTTTTTCTTGAAGAACAAACTTATAGGCATGTTTCTGGGGTCGAAATATACTACCCCTAAAAATATTTGCACTTATTTCATGCTCACCCTGTGTAGGATGATTCACGACGATGCATGGTACGTTAGACGTTAATGGAGAACTGGTTGTTTTTTGAAAATTTGGATTTTTACATAAAAGTATCTGCTCCACCTACCTAAAATATTTTCGGCGTTACGTGTTGCCGCTTCATACTAAAAGTAGTAGCATCTTTCTTATTTTAAATGGAACACCCAGTATATTATTACATTTTTCAAAACTACTTTTAAAAAAATATGTTTTATATTGTTTTTCTATTTTTACTCTAAATTTAGAAATGGGAAAGTTTGTGTAGCTGGTCGCTAGCAACAGCTAGATTTATTTTCTATCTCGCAACCAGCATTTCATCACACAATGACTGGAGGTTTTAGCATCGTGTAGGGTGGGCTTTATTCACGAAATTGATAAATCGTCATTGTAAACAGGCTAACGATGTATGCAACGTCAGTTTGGCGTTTGTATGTATACAAAATGTTAATTTATCACACAAACAATTGTTATATAGTACAAGAGTTAAATTTGACAAGCGTTTAATTGCAGAGAAATGTTTAAAAAATTGACTAAACCATATACTATGACTTATTTTCAACATACACAATTAATGTAATTAGGCTGTTTGTTTTTTGGTCAATAACTGTTCTTAAAAAATGTGCTTATTTTCTTAAAGTTTGATATCCTATAACGGACAAACGAAGCACTTTTATTATTCACGATTGCACTAAAGGATTATAAAAAAATAACTTATTTTGATTAAAAAAATATGTAGTTCTTCTATGTCCACGGAATATTATTTCTGCCTTGGAAAAAGAAATTCTTCAAAATTTATTTTTCTCAAAAACTAAGCGATGTGGCATTTTTTTATAAGAGACAAAAAATGTAGTAAATACTAGAGGGACCATTTTACGAAAAGAAAATCTGTCATCGGAGGTGTTGTGTAAATATTTATACTAAAATTTATGTAGGCGTGGGTGTAGTTTTTACCCTTCCCGTACTTTTTCTTGATTTTTGTGAACTCAAATGTTAAAGCACCTAGCAAAACATCGACACCCATAATCGCATTCAAATCAGAATAACGGTTCTAAAATATCTGAAAAAATGTTTTTATTTTTTTAAAGTTTGATGCCCTCTGAGGTAAATTATTGTGTCTAATGAATATCCACGGGAATATTGGATCACCCTGTATATTCAGTTTGACTTCCAAATATCATATCACTATGAATATCCACGGGAATATTGGATCACCCTGTATATTCAGTTTGACTTCCAAATATCATATCACTATCAATAAAGGTCCCTAAATATTTTTTATATTGAATAAATATGCGATGGACTGACAAAAAACCGGAAAATGTTTGAATTTTCATCTCCAGCGCACTTTATTATTCAATCCTTCAACTGACTGACGCTTCAATCGATATCACCAACACACTCTCACCGACACCCTTCAAAATCAGGACATAGTTTGCCACGCACGCAAAGTTTAACATTCTTGGCGATACGTCGTCATTTTCCAATTACAAATGGCGTCCTCCGCCCACAACCAACGCCTACCTCGATGTGCCGAACTGGTAATTACTCGTTATCGTTACTATCCTATCCGCACACTGATCGGCATGGGTCTTGTAATGTCAATTAATTTACTGCGGAAGGGCTGTTATCCCTCCAAGTTTCAAGTTGTAATGCATGCAAAGAGAAGTGATCTAGAGGGTAGAGCCTCTCATACCACGCGGAGGCTTCAAGGAGAGTGATTTTTAGCACTAAAATATACAGGGTGGTCCGAACTGTATTCCGGAAACTTCGGCAGCATATTGTGCGGATTAAAATAAGTAAAAAAGTTCGTATAAATGTTTGTCCTAAAATGCTTAGTTTCGGAAATACAGGGTGTAGAAGTTTCATTTTTATTTCTATTTTTTCCAAATAATTTGTGAAGTAACGTCAATATTTGGATAAAAATTGGTATCTGGAAGTTTTTTGACATGAGATATTTGATTTTGATGTCAATATGACTCCCATTTGTAAGGGGCGCCACCTACATGTGTTTTAACTCTTTTGAAGAGTAATAACTTTTCGTCCGTACCTGTATAAAAGCACTGAGTTAAAAAATTTACATTTCAAATAATACAAATATACAAATTATGTTAATTTAAATATGTACATCCTTTACAATCAGTTTTTTCATTTTAGGGAAATTTCAAATATAATTAAATGTGATATTGTCCTTTTATTTATCTGAAAGTTCGAAAGTTTGCACTTGCACTGGACTGGCCGTATCAAAGCCGTAGGCGTTGGCTTCTTTTGAGTTACATATAAAGAAAATGTTTTTAAAAGAAAAAAAGATAAAATAAACAGTTTTTTTCTAGTTATCTGAATTAAGGTTGGCGGCAACCTTTTTTATAATAAATTTTTCGTTAGTATACCTACAGACTGTCTAAAAGCACCTTCGAATATTTCGAACATTTTATGTATTTTTAAATTCCCTTTTAAATTTATTCGGTGTGTTCTAATCAAAAAAGTTTAAAAAAAGGAAACTAAGTTATTTATGGATTTTTTTTTTGGTAATTGATGAAAATTTTAATTGCAATATGTGTGCAGCAAAAATATCATAAAAAACAAGCACTAGAAATTTTAAAAGGTACATGGCATCGAAACACCCAACAGTTTCTTTGTAAGTTTTTATAAAAAAATGATTCCGCTATTTATTCTGTTTTTTTATTGAAAACTTTGGGATTGAGTTTCCCAGTTTACAGCGTACCAATTTAAAAATATCAATATCGCAATCGCAGGTTCCAGTCTCAGCGATTTATAAATCACAATCGCAGTTTTGTTCATCTCTAATGGCTATGAATATCTATATGTTTTTTAAACACCCTGTATATACAGGGTGTCCCAGAAATAAGTGCAAGTATTTAAGGGGTGGTATATCTGTCCAACATAAACATATATTCTCTTTACAATTTTCACCTGATCTGTTTGAATGTAGATCAAACGTTGACTATTTACATATCTAAAAGAGGACGCTGGTTCTGAACTGTTGTAAAGCTGCTATAAGTGTTCATTATTTAGTTTTATTATTTCAGTTTACTAAACCGTAAAAAATGTATTTAATTTATAGTAGACTTTGTACTATACTTAATAATAATCTACAATGATTAAAAACCTGCAGTGAATAAAATTAATTTTTTCCATAGCAACTGTTAAAATTGCCTTATATCTATCAAAAATAGTAGATAAAATAGTACTTTAACCGCAAGGGTAGATTAAACGATACTTTAACAGCGAGGATAGGTTAAAAATTTTATTTCTTCTCGCACGTTTTTTAATTGCTTCCATTTTTGAAAATTTTTGTATTCCTTCTCATAAGTTATTCGGGATTTAAATGGAAGTAGTTTCGATATGGCGTTTGTCGCCTCAGGCTGAATATCTGTTGGTAATTTACTTATTTCGTTTAGAGTCATTTCTGGCTCCAATTCAATCAGCAATCGACACGAAAGAGAATTAAAAAATATTGACTCAAAACTGACAACTAAAGAGACAGCTTAATTTATTTGTCAACCCAACGCCAACCCAGCACAATATTTTTTCTACTCGTAATAAATTCCTTGAAATAGTAATTTTGTTTATTTTTTGATTTTCAGTGATGAAGGTAGTCTGGATTCTCCAAGCGACCATCCCCCCATGTCTCCCAAGATACTGCTCTCTCCTGATGAAACACAATCGGACGATACGCAGGACGGCAATCATACGGGGACAGAGACGGACTCAGGAGTACGAATTCGAAGGTAATAATTTTCTTTTTTTATTATTATATTATAATGGAATGTGTTTTTATTATTAATTGAAAAGTTTTTTACTATTAGCTTGGAATTATCATTAAATTAGATAGGGTTTAATGAATAATGTACATAATATAAAGATGTGTGTCCCTAAATGATGTTGACAAGAGTAAAAAAGATGGGTTATTTTATGATGAAAAGTTTTTTTTTAAAGTTATTTAAAAAAACCTTAAAGGTTGATTATGACTATACCTTCCGTATCCGCTACTTTCCGTTTCCCTTCCGTTTACACAAAATATTATATCATGTAAATAAATAGAACAATGGACACTATCCGTTCCGTTTCCCTTTCGTTCCATATCCTTTACTTCCATAAATTTTTTTGGCGGACGGACTGAAGCGTATCGGAAACAGCGTTGTCAAGTTTTTTTGTACCAGCTCTGTGAACATTTTGCTGATATTTATTTATTCTTTCACCTCTTAATTTAGTCTATTACCTTTTTCAAAAGATACAAATTATTAAAATTAAACTTTCGTAATGATATAAACTGTACAATAAAAAGTATGGAACTGATACGGAACGGGAGCTTACGAATAGCGTCAATACAATAAAAAATACAGATCGGATATGGATTGGATATGGAATGGAAACGGAAGATGTAGTACGTATCGACCTTTATTCGGTCAATCAGACCACAACAAGTTTCAAAAAAGTTAATAAAAAAGTAATAAAAGGTTATATTTGATTAAATTACATTAAGGTTGGCTGCAATGACTTCCCGTAATCCTGCCGTTAAAACATTTATATACAGGGTGGCCCATCGAAAACGTCCCGCAAGGCATAACAGCCAGGGTTTTTTTTTTTTTCGAAAAATCCAAAAACACGTCAATTTTGTTTGTGAGGGGGACAACTTTTTCCCCAAAAATGATTGCAAAATCTTCAACCCTCTAAGCGGGGGTGTCATCCCCCAACTTTTTTCAAATAGAAAGGGGGGTCAAGTGGCGTCGCAATGAAAAGGGCTTTCTATTCTCTATATTTCCCCGCTTCGTTTTTAAAAATCGGTCGAGTCATTTTGAAAATATGAAAGACTGAAATTTGAAAAGTACTTTTTTTGCAAAAAACGCATAAATTGAATTAATTAAAAAAAACTTATCTTATTAATGAAGAAAATGCTGAAAATGTTGCCCGTCAACCTCCATACAGTAATACAAATTATTTTCAACCCGTTCTAGAACATTCTGAAGAACTTGTGGGGTCACTTCGCAATAAACATTAATAATTCGTCTTCGCAGGTCTTCTAATGAGGCGGGTGGAGTGCTATACACTTTACTTTTTTTGCTATACACTTTACTTTACTTATGTCCCCATAGAAAAAAGTTTAAAGGAGTCAAGTCGGGTAACCGGGGAGGCCACTCAATTGCACCCCTTCGTCCTATCCACCGAACGGGAAAGTTATTGTTTAAATAATTACGCACATTTTGAGAGTAATGTGGAGGTGCACCGTCTTGTTGAAATATTAGTTCCGCTTCAACGTATCCTGGATTGTTCTCTATGATGTCAGTTAGGGCTGGGTCGATGGTATTTTCCAGTAAATCCAAGTACATATCACCTGTTGGATTTCCATGAAGAAAGAAAGGACTCACAATAGAATTTCTAAAAATACCAGCCCACACCAAGAACGGTAAACTAATAGGATTGCTCATCCTCATAAGACGTACGTTCGCCTCTTCCCGCGCTTCAGCTGACAGTTGTGACGTCATTGTAGCCCTTGTCAAAGCCTTCGTGGCCTTGTCATGATAGTGTGTATTATTAGTTGCCTATGGTAAACTTATAAAAATAACAGCTGAGAAATTTTGAGTTAATTATTTTGTCAATTTTAATTGTGAAAAAGGTGTCTTTAAAATTTTTAGAGCTATAGAGTGTATAAATACGTTCATTTTGTGTTGTGGATTGTGACAAAGTGCATACTAAGTGCCCACGATTTTTTTTATTAATTATTTTAAGGCAAAATATGGAAGTACTCTAAAAAGAATGCTTGCAAAAACTGATGTTCTTAAAAATGCATTATCCGAGTATTTAATACGATTTATACAGTTAATTTTCTATACTGCATACATATAAGGTGTTTAAATAAATAAACTAAATAATGAACGTTTTGCATTCGTAACCAATAATGCACGTGTATGTATTATTGGTTGCCGGATAAGGACTAATAACCATGACAAGGGCTACAATGACGTCACAAAGCGAGTAGTTTTCGCATGCACCTGGCGGACACTTTTGGCTGAATGAGCAGTCCTATTAGGTTAACTGTTCTTGAGCCCACACGTTCAATTTCTTAGGGTTTTGTGTGTGCACCTCGTGAAAAACCCTGGGGTTGTTCTCAGCTCAGTACCGACAGTTGTACCGATTAACTACACATTTACCTAACCCGATCGTTTATCCTTGTGGCAAGTGAAAAAATGGGTAAACATGTAGAAATAATAAGAAAAAACAGCAAATTGGTCAAAGGAATTTATCCTTATCATTTACTCTGATAAATGTTTAAATAAACTTTTCAAATTTCAATCCTTCATATTTTCTCAATGGCTCGACCGATTTTCAAAAACGAAGCGGGAAAGTATAGAGAATAGAAAGCCCTTTACCACTTGACCCCCCTTCCCATTTGAACAAAATTGTTGGATGACACCCCCGCTTAGAGGGTTGAAGATTTTGCAATCATTTTTGGGGCAAAAATTGTCCCCCTCACAAAATTGTCCCCCCCAACAAAATTGACGTGTTTTTGAATTTTCTGAAAAAAAATTACCCTGGCCGTTATGCCTTGCGGAACGTTTTCGATGGGCCACCCTTTAGAAGAAGACCAAGATTTTTATATATAAAATCCAATTGTTATGTTTTAACGGCAGGATTACGGGATGTCGCGCGTCGTTGCAGCCACCCTAAACACATTAACACTTAAAACCGAACAATGGAACAAAATATGATGTGAATAACAAGATGACCGTAAAAGAATAGAGTGGATACGACAAAAAATCCAGATAATAAATGTCATACACTACACCATAATTGGAAATGGTTGAATAATCTGATTTTTTTTCTACAGGGTTGTTCACCACATACGACACGGAGTATTGTAGCTAAACGATGCGATTTTTACAAATTGTAAGTTTTGGGTTCGATGAAGGACTATTAGAGGTACAATTTAAAAATAATTTTACAAGATACAGAGTGTCCCAAATAAGTAAAAAATATCAAAGTTGTATTTTTTAAATGGAACACCCTGTATATTATTACATTTTTAGTTTCTACGATTAAAATAAAGGTAAATTTGATTAAGGTTTATTATACTTAAACCTTACCGTTTTTGAAATATTTTCAATTTTGTGAAATTGCAGTAAAAATTTTAAGGCTTCATTTCTCCAAAGGTATCAAAGTTTTTAATACTAAATATTTACTGAAGTTTATTTACTGATCAGTTATTGTGTTGCAATAATAAAAATAATACTACCTTATACAGAGTGTCTAAAAATTTACTTTAAATAATTATTGGCTTCAAACGGCAATAACTTGTTTAATTTAAATGGAACACCCTCTATATTTTACGAGAATCAGATGCACAATTTAATTGTCTATCAAATTATATTATACCATTTTTACCTATCTCTTTAAGTTTCCGTAGAAAATGCATTTTCTTGTAATTTAGAACTTATTTATCAATATACCCATGGACTATTGACATTTTAGATTATTTTTAAAGATGTACCAAATTTTTAAAGAGTACAAATATTAATATTGTCGATATAATTCGTTTATTTCATTAAAAAATAAAAAAAAACTGTTTAAATATTTGTTAAAGAGGATCAGTTAATATGATTCCAGTATTCAAACAACATTAACTGACTGTTTGCTTTGATTAATAATAATTGCTCCAAATACTAAAAAACTGAATTTTGTATGGGCATTAGACAGTGTGATAAAAAGTAACACCTTAAAAATGATATTTCATTTTTTAATAAATGCTTATTTATAACTACAGAGACTTTAATTTGATAACTTATTATTATATTGATTTCTGACTCAAATCCACATTTATTTATAATAATTTATTAACGAACACAATTAAGTATGTAATTAATTAGTATATGGGCGGAAATAATGGTGTTATATTTAATTAATGGTATACTCTTTTATAAAGATTTAAATAGTTTTCTTTTTGCATACAAATGGGCTAGTAATATTATCGTTTTGCTAAAAACGCTAATATTACTAGTCTGTACATTTTGTACATTTGTTGCTTTATAAACAATCTAAAATGTCAATATTCCATGGATATATTGATAAATGAGGTCTAAATTAAAAGAAAATGCATTTTCTACGAAAACTTGAAGGGATAGGTAAAAAATGGTATAAGACAATTTAATTGTGCATCTGATTCTCATAAAATATACAGGGCATTCCATTTAAATTAAAGAAGTTATTGCCGTTTGAAGCTAATAATTATTTAAAATAAATTTTTAGACACTCTGTATAAGGTAGTATTATTTTTATTATTGCAACACAATAACTGATCAATAAATAAACTTCATTAAATATTTAGTATTAAAAACATTGATACCCTTGGAGAAATGAAGCTTTAAAATTGTTACTGCAATTTCACAAAATTGAAAATATTTCAAAAACGGTAAGGTTTAAGTATAATAAACTTTAATCAAATTTACCTTTATTTTAATCGTAGAAACTAAAAATGTAATAATATACAGGGTGTTCCATTTAAAAAAAATACAACTTTGATATTTTTTATTTATTTGGGACACTCTGTATCTTGTAAAGATATTTTTAAATTGTAGCTCTAATAGTCCTTCAACGAACCCCAAACTTACAATTTGTAAAAATCTAATCGTTTAGCCACAATACTCCGTGTCGTATGTGGTGAACAACCCTGTATATTTATTTAAAACTTAAAACGTTTTGTATAAAGGAAACTTTCAAGCAAAAAAAGCAATATTTGTTATAAGAAAAACTTTCATATGCTGATTTTTTGCTCTGGCCAGCTCTGTACGTGGACGCACTATAAAAATGGTATTTTAGTAAGAGTAATTAGAAGTAACCTTCTAATATTAATTAGTTTTTGAATATTTCAAAACAATAAATGATCTCGATTATCAGAACCAAGGTATTGTTTATTTATTTAAAGGTGCAATATATAGTTTTGAACGACGATGTCATTTTATATTATGTAAAATTGTATGGGGAATGTCATCGACCGTCATTTCCAAGCCAACTGGACGCCTTTTTTTCGAGCATACGGTACAAAGAACCGCGCATTGGTCAGGCTTTCCCACTGACAACTATCCTGTCTTCTTCAGAATGACAAAATCTGCGGCTGGTTTTGTCCGTCTTAGGTTTGTTTTAAATTTGGAATAATGTTTTTAGGTTTGTTTTAAATTTGGAATAATGTACTGGTATGAACTTTTTCTCCTGTCTCTGTCTCTGTCCTGGTTTGAACTTCTCCACTATTCTAGTTTATGTTTTGGATCATAATCATCATCATTTTCAGCTTATTCAAGTATTTCCAATTATGGTGCGGCCTTCCACACATATTTAGATACTCTCTTTGTAGTTAGGCCCATTGGTTGTCTATTGTTGGCTATGCGGGCCCAAGTTATCCCTGATAATTTCCTAATATCATGGTCCCATCTCAGGTTCGGTCTTCTTCTAGGTCTCTTAATTCCTCGTAGGTACCATGCAGTAATTTTTGTGGTCCATCTATTGTCCGTTCTTCTTGCCAGGTGTCCCGCCCATTGCCACTTGAGGGATTTGATTCTGTGGATGACATCTATTACCTGGTTCTTTTGTCGTATCCACTATATTCTTTTACGGCCTGTTTTTGGTTATTCCCAGCATATTTCGTTCCATTGAGCGCTGTGCGACCTGCAGTTTTTATTGGTCGAATGTTTTCTTCTTTAGTTTTGGATATAAGGAAATATATTTATTTTTGAAAGGCGGTTCACCTAAATATGATTATGGAATTTAAAAAAATATATATTTTAGAGTTCTGATAAGCGAGATTTTTGAAATTAACAGCATTTTCTGGTTCTGAAAGTAGATATAATTTCTTGCATGAAACCAGTATTGATTACCCTTTTTAATAATAGTTTACAGAAAAAAATATCAAACAAAATTATCTACTTTTTTCTTATATCTTCAACACGTCTGCTTATTTTTTTCATAATCTCGTTAATTCTACCCTTAATTCGATAACTTTGTGCACTGATTTCAGTACCTTACATTTACTTTTGTTATTTTTTTACTTTTATTTGACACTAATACCTATTCTGCATGCAGCATCACTGAGAGATTGTTCAGTTTAAATCAGGAGTCGTACAGTGCCTTTAGGTAAGGATCCTTTTATTTTTTTCGTTATTTTCTGTGCCCTTAAGTACGACACTGACCTTATTACACTGCCTTTTACACAGTTTTTTTACGATCATACGATATTATTTGACTGATTTTCACAACAAAAAGGTTTGTATTTTTGAACTTAGCTTTTTCTTCGTTCCACATCTTAATATATTAAAATGTAATTTCTATAACATTAAAACCATAGATAAAAGAAACTAATCTTCTATTAAGATAGATATGAAACTTAATAGTAAAATTTTGGGTCAAAGCGCCCCTCCGTGTTCTTAGTAGAGACTACGTTTAACCCAGCGCCTTCGCCTTTTCTGCTGTAAAATTTTTTTATGTTTATATTTGAATTCAAAGGATTTATTTTTAAAGTTGAAAACTGATATATTAGTATACCAGAGTAACTTTAATAAAACATAAGAATATATATTTTACAGTTTATTAAAAATAAATTTTGACTACAAGGTAGAAAGTAAATCACAATATTTGATAAAACTTATAAATACATATACCATTTTTACAGTTAATAAATAATAAAACTATTTCTGACTATGATATTTAAAATTTAGAGAGATAGAAAATTAAAAAACATATCTACCGGTATTTGCAGACGCAGGCCCAAATTCAATAGAAACCAAAATTTTTCCTGCGAAAATCGGGCTTTTTTCACTGAAAAGGTATTTTTTGATTTATCAGCAATCATTGTCAAGTTGACAATATACAGGGTGTTTTCTAATTAGTCTAAAAAAATTGTGGTTTGATTCCTCATGTGTTCTTAAAACAATTTTTGTAAAACCACTGGGTCTAAAGTACTTCCTTTCTGATCTACAGGGTGTTAAAAATTAAAAAAAAAATCGATTTTTTGCTTAACATAAATGGTACACCACTGCTTTTTTTAAAGAAAATATATTTTTTTCTTGACTGGCCATCCTTTTTCAACAAAATTAATTTTTTGAGTTTTTCTTGTTCATCAAACGGTTCGGCTGTCGAGAAAAAAATAAATATACTTATTAAGAGCCCGCCTTAATCCGTTTTCTATAACGACTTTTTATTTTTTAGATTAATTGGGAAATACCCTGTATATGCATATCACAGGCAACCAAATAAACTAGTAACCTCTAAAAATTATTTTTCCTACCACTAGCGACATCGTGTTTTTAGTGTGTACTAAATTATTTTATCAAAATTTCACCATATAAGTTTCCAGGCAATGATTAAAACATTCCCTTTTCCTGTCAACAACAGTCAAAAGTATCATGTTCTTATATCTCCATCTCAAAGACTCCGTTTTAAAATCGATTCCGCGTTTGTACCAAACAAAATTCGCTGCAAGTAAACTATGCAAAACTTCCCTTAAACAATTCGCGAACTTAAAGAGCTCCTTAACATCAAACACAAACAAAACAAGACTCGACTCTCTGTAAGCTATATGTTGTTTCTGCTATATTTTATTCTCACATTTCGTTGTTCTTCTCTTTCCGAAGCAACATAGAGTCTCGACCCAACGAGGACTTGATAAACGCAGCTAAAAATGGTGATTTACATATGGTATGTAGTAGGAGCGGGTTCTAAGTGTATATTTTGTATTAGTCCAGGTGACAATGAAGTTTTTTTGTACCTAGTTATTTTGTACCTAGCAAAATGTTGCAAAAATTTTACAAATTTTTGAAATCCATAACCCCGAACTGACTAGGAAAATAAATACCGAAAATCTTCACTGACTCCTGGACTATATTGTGTACTGGTGTGAGGGTAATTCAATTTAGCTAACTGTATTTTAATTGTTAAATTTGCTTTACTTAAAATAAAATAATAAATTAAAAACGGTTAAAATCAAAGGCTGGGACGGAAATATTTATTGTAGCAAAGGATGTCGATGAAAATGATGTCTGTTCTCTTGGAAAATTTATTATATGTGACATTAATGATGTAAATGAGTGGTGTGATGAGTATCTATTTTCATTTTATATTATTACTCAAAATCTCTATTGTATTTCATGATTATTACCTGTAAAAGGTAGAGGGAATTATCGAATTATGGCATCTTAATCTCAGTTAATAATATCCCAAGAGAGCTATTTATGGTGAGCATAACCAAGACAATATAAGCTTATAATTCAGTAAGAAATAAACACAATTGTATAGGTATCTTAATCTGGACTAAAAGCAAATGTATGCTTTTAAAGCATACACAGTTATTCACAGTTCCTGTCTTTTTCAAAGGCGAATTTCTTTATCAAAAATAAGACTATTCCCTATTTGAATAAAAAATGTTAAAAGTTGAATAATTTAGCTAAAAAGTGCTTTAAAAAATCAAAATTAGAACCTTGGAACAGAATCTATGGAACTTTAAATTGAATTAAAATTTTTAGGTGTCGGTCATCTTTTTCTTTATTACCTTCTTACTTTTTATCTCTGTATATAATACCGCTTCGTGAGCAGTGCATGTTGAACTACATTATTTTCCATTAAATAATAAATAGTTTTTTAAGATTAATAGAATATGTATTAGAATTTTTAATAGCTCTTAGATAAAATTAAGAGTTTTATCGAATATATTCCAATTATTAAAACTGCTTCTATTTGTTTTAGAAATCATCTCTAGGTTTACTAGCCTGACTAAAAGATATATTTGATATTGTTTAATTATTAATATATAGAGTTTCTACTTCAACTGACTGGTTTTGGTACTACTTTTTGCAGCTCAAAAACCTGCATAATCAGGGGTACTCTCTTCAAACGAGGGACGCAACAGGCCAAAATCTGCTCCACCACGCGGCGCGTCACGGTCACAAGGACGTCGTGAAGTACCTGCTGCGTCACGCGCCGTCAATTATCAACCAGAAGGATAATAACTTGTAAGTACCATAGATTAGGAATAATTATGTGCAGTGCTTTTATTTTATTTTGTCCCACATTTAAATGCCTATAACTTTTTGTTTTTTAGAGAGCATTGATTAAAAATTAATAGGGTTTTATGGGGTAAAAATATCATAAGCTGTCAAATGTCACACTTATTGATACAACATAATATATATATATATACAACATAATTATTATAACTTGCCTATTTTTATTAGAATTTATATATCTTGTAACGTTTTCTTGACACAATGCAAACGGCAGCTTTTCGTCTTTGTGAGCAGTCGTAGGTTCGTTTTTTTTTTAATTTTTTTATTAGGTGTTATAATTAATCAATAAAACAATAATTATTGGGCCCCACGTTGGGCGCCAAACTTGTGTAACGTTTTCTTGACACAATGCAAACGGCAGCTTTTCGTCTTTGCGAGCAGTCGTAGGTTCGTTTTTTATTTTTTTATTAGGTGTTATAATTAATCAATAAAACAATAATTATTGGGCGCCAGGACATTCACTCAGAAATAATAGATCTCTTTACCTCAACTTAAATTTATTTATAATTAAAAAAATATTAGACAAGGACAGTAATTGATGGATGAAGTTAGGTTTTTAAAATGAATTAATACCTAAGAAAAATAAGTAATCAACATTTAAATGTATGATAAAAAAATAGTATCACTTGTTTTGTTGATTAAAAATCATTGACATATTAATATTAAATTACGCAAAATAAAATTAAATGAGTACCCAAACTAACGCAGTTCATGAACCTTGTTGTATGCGCACATAATTCCCTAAATCACTCAAAAGTTAATTAAATAAATATGTCAAGTGATACCATCACAAAATACTTGACAACATATTAAAATATATAAAAATTTGTATATTTAAAATTAAGAAAATTATATTTTAATAATGAAATTCAAAAATGATATCTAATAATTACATAATTAATTACGTAATTCGTCAACAGTAAGTATCACTTTCAGCGTCTGATTCTCCAGGGTAAAATAAAGGGGGGCAAAAGGGGGATAGGACGAAGGAAGCTATCCTGGCTGAGAAATATTCGTCATTGGACAGGCATACAGGACTTCCAAGCACTCCAAGTCGCGGCAGTTAACAGAACCATCTGATGAGGAAGAAAAAGATGAACGCCTACGCAGGAATCTGCACGGCACCTTAAGAAGAAGAAGTAAATAGATTTGAAATGAGTTAATAAAAAAATATGAAATCTGGCCTGATTATTCGGTGCAATTCCAGGATTTGGCTCGTCCTTCTGGATGGTGTGTGGACGTTAGGTGTGGGAGCTCATCCCCAATCTACCACAGCCTCGAACAGCCCCTTACAATACCACCAGCCATGTGGAAATCAAACATGGATCATAGATACAGGCTCTCGTACCTCAAACCACCAATCACGACATATAACTCGCCATGTAACTGGACGGTAAAACCCTGGAAACGACACAACTTATGCACAAAATGCATCTTAGAAATTTTAGAACTTACCTCACGATGCTAAGGGTTTACTCAAAAATTAAACTCATGACAGGACAACCAAAACCACGTTTAGAAAATCACCAAAATACCCATGAAAACTTAAAATTGATTCCTTCCCCAAATGCCAGGAACCATTAGGACTACATTCCAAAGGTTAATAGAATTAAAAGGTTTAAACTTTTTCGGATGACTTCAGATAAGTATGTCGATGTTTAAGCCACGAAATCTGAATCAAAAATGGTGACTTCCGATAGTCAAAAAGATGCTATAGTTCTGCGCCGACAAGGGCAAGTACGATCAACAGAGTGTCCGAAATTAGTCAGAACTAATTCGGTAGGGTGTATGTTGGGTTGCCAATAGTATCGTTTTATTAAAACGTTACAATCTTTATAACAATTTTAATAACTACCAACATTTATTGACAACGTAAAATAAAACAACAAATTATTGAGACTACCCTACATCATATTTGTAGACGTTTTAAATAAAATTAGAACGGCACTGATAATCCAGAATTTAAGTCGGCCATTTTTGGTCCCCATCGCGCCCGACCAAAGTTTTTTTTGATATGCTCCTTTCTTAATCATTTTATTCAAAGATTTCCTGCTATGTGTTCCAATTGTACCAACTTATTTCGTTGTAAAATAAAATAAACTACTTTAAAATTAAAATGACAGACACATCTATCACTATCAAGGATTTTGTCGTTGGACAGACTATAGTTGAAATCTTTTAGTTCACATACAACATACAATCTTTTGAACTAGTTCGGTCTTGAACTACACAGCTCTAATTTACTTTTCAAAGCTCAGACGATGCGCACTTGGCTTTTAGTGAGCTCGCGGTTGTTTAACCCCATTACCGAGATAATCAGCCGCGTACAAAGTTGCTTTTTAATGAAATCTGCCTGTCGTCTTGAGCATGTATAATATGTCTGGCTTGACGGTATATTTAATGGAACATCGTCGCGTTCAGCGATTTTGTTGTTAGGCTGTCGTCGACATTTTACCTACTTACTCTGAAAGTTTACTTCCAAATAAATTAAAACGAAAGTTCTTCACGTGGGATGAGAATATAGGGTGTGCAGAGAGTGAAAAAATCACATCAAATAGATTTTTTTTATTGGTGTCTTTTTTAATATACAAGGCCGACAAGTTCTTTGGGAGCCTGTTCGTCGCAAGGCGTTTTCATTCATGAGCTTTTCTGAGCCTCAAAAAAATCCGATACGTCCGAAAAATCTCATTACTTGCCTCTTCACTTTTTAATAAAATGCTTTTTACAAATATGCTAATGAGCCACCCTCGTTCCATTTGAAAAAATTGAGATATGATTAAAAATACGTTTTGGGCATTTTTTAACCGACCAGGACAAGACACGAATAATACTAGACAATCAAATCTATTTTTCCAAGGCCCCTTGATTAAAAATTAGTGTTTCTAACACAGCCATGGCACCCTAGATTGAAATTTGAAATTCAATTTTGTTTTAAGCAAAAATGTCAAAAGTTGACATATGATATCGTCCTATTGCTGCCAAAAGTCACTAACTAACATTTTTCCGAACAACCAAATTCAATCACTACCTATGTTTTGAATCGGAGAATCGATTGCAAAAGTCATTAACCACGATTTCTGGCTATTTATGTTTTATATTAATACCGAATAGTTACTAACTGTAACATCTTTATGCAATGCAATTCATTTTTAGATGCATTTTTCTCGGAAGTAATAAAAAGTAAGTTAGTGACTTTTGGCAGCAATGGGACGATATGTCATTCTAGTTAGAAAGTTATTTTCTATGGAATTAAGTAAAAAAATACCGAGGATGCCATTTAAAAATCAACAAGTTGTAGTAATTTCCGGTGAAACAGGAAGTGAGGGAAAACAATTGAATACGTCAATCAATCCTAAGATGTTGAAAATCGTGCATTTTCTTTTAAATGTTCCTTTATATTTTAGAAAACTTTTTAGAATAGCCTGTTTACCGCAAATTTTTCCGCTGTATAATTGCTGCGGGAAAGAAACCACAAAAATACTATTTGTTTTAAGCTGTTTATAACCTAAAAAAAATAATAATTTTATAATACAGTGAAGTAATAATGAAGAAAGCATATTATGCAATGGGTCTCTGAGGAATACACTTTCCTTATTTCTTTCGGAGGTTCTAAATGTATGATAATAAAAGTTTCAAAAGGAATAGAGCCCCTAAATACTCCCTTAAGAAAATAAAATATTATTTTCACTTTGTTTTCCGTTTTCGTCTTTGTAGAAAAGCTACCGATAAAGTAAAAAAATGCCTCGCAAAAAAACCTTTTAGTGGAACGTTTACCCCAGAAAGGAATTCTATTTTTAAATATCTCCTTGATGTTATTTATCACAATAGAGAAGATCCAGGACATTAATACTCATTATAGAGTAACCGAAGTATGTCTAAAGACGCTTGGAGTAAATTATTTTCCTTTTCTATAAAAAGGTGAATGAATAGAGAATAATTAAAGACTTAATTATTCCCTAGATAAAGTCGCATTCTAGATTCTAGTTTTCTGTTGATTTCTGGCAGTAGAGATCCCGAGCTGTGTACATTTATATATCTATCCTATAAAAGTTATCCCATAAAAGTTATCTAAATCTTTTTATGGCCACTTAACTATACCTCTCCGGAATACAGAATTTTATTTATCGCATAAATTAAGGAAAAAGAACAAAAAAACAAATTTATCTTAATTTTCGGTATTTTTACTTGACTGTTTTTTTTTTCGGAGAAAGACAAAGACATAAATCCAAAAGACCGTTTTTCTTCTGGATCCTGGCAATTACAAGAAGAAAAAATAATTATCTGCGGTTGGTGTTTTCTCTCCAGAAATCTGAAAATAAACTGATTTGAGCAAAAGGGCAGGGCAAATCAAGAATTCCATTAATACTAAAGCAGGGGGATTTGGTAATTCCTTTACGAGTACATTCACAATTGTCACGCGGTCCTGGATTCTGGTTCTGAATTATTTCGACAGATATGATGAATTTTTTTATCTTGGATTTTTCTCAATTCTTCTGAAAAATTTCTTCGAGTGTCTTAGACCGTTCTAATCGTTAAATAATTTCTGAACTAACCTCGATCTTTGGATAAAAATTGGTGTCTGGGGGTTTTTTGACAAGAGAAATTTGATTTTGATGTCAATATGACCCCTACTAGTAGAGGGCGCCACCTACATGTGTTTTAACTGTTTTGCAGTGTAATAACTTTTTGTCCGCACCTGTATAAAACTACTGAGTAAAAAAATATATATTGGCGATGTTTTTTACGTAAAAAAGGTCTCTTGGTAAAAATCGCTACGACTAATGATTCTCGAGATATTTGGAGTAGAATTTATCAATACCTGTCATCATTGACATAAATTAAACATGTTGATAAATCATAAATTTGAAATGTTTTTGTGCCAAAAATTCAACAGAAACTGTTTTATCACCATTTTGTTCGCAAAAAAGTTTATGATTAATTTGAAA